TCTTACCCTATGGTCGGAGTTCATTAATATGACGATTGACGTTGTCAGCCCTGCTTCACGTCAGAACTCATGAAACCTTAATAAAAGGAACGTATAATCGATTTTGAAACATCAATCGGGAAGCGTGAAATAAGCATAATTTATAATATACGAAATTAAGACTAATTTTTTTATGTTTTACCGTCACAATATTATGTTTAGTTACGCAAAGAGTGAACTAGTTCCCAATGTAAATCCACTATTTGCATGGTCGACTGTATTTACCTCGAAATTGCGAAATTGTGTAGTTTGCTATAGGGTTTTGCGGCTTGTGTCAAACAAAGAATCTTTTTGTTACGTTAAAATCTCCCACAAAACGTATACGCTATTCCTGCTCATATATCTGGATTATGTGTGCCGGTATGAGCTTGACACGGTCTGTATGCCCGTTTGGCAGGTGTCGGTAATTTTCAACTAAAAAGGATTTACACTGTCACAAATGGACGATTAGCCTCACAGTCAAACTACCCTATTTCTTCTTCTTCTATTTGCATTTATTTGTGTACTTCCGCTAATAATAATTAGTAAGAGTTATGAGTTCCATTGCAGATTTCCCACAGGTTCGTGAATCAACGAGGACGACTACCGCTCTTGCGGATGGAGAAATGACGAGGGGTAGATGCCGGTCAACCCCTCTAAAGCGAATACGCCACTCGATATAGGGAATTAGGACATGAGCGAGTTTACAATAGATACGTCCTATAATGATTGATATTCGACCGATAATGTGGTCTCTATTAGTTAAATTACCGACCCAATTTTACATAAAATTTTATACATTCATTAGGAATGCGATTTTGACATTTGGCAGTTTTATGTTTATTTAAGCCACAAGCACCGTGACCTTAATGGAAATTTAACCACGAACAATAAGTTTTCTCATGTAATCTTCACATTAAATACGCTGCATTTAAGAAAATTGTAACGGGAACCCGCTACCGGATTTTTGTTTAATTTGAATTTGAATTGGCAGTTGCAAAATATAAAAATTATCAAAGTCCTCGTGTGAGATCGAAGGGACTTCAGCGCATTTTTGTGTGGCAGATCAGTATTCTATTAGCCACTTTCGACTCAACCATCAATAACAGATCTTGTCGAAGGCTACTACATTCACTAACCGTTTCCCACTTTCCGTGTGCACCCGCAATTCGCTTTTAAAGTTAAAATCATGTCGGGGGCTACCACATTCCCTTTGACGGTAGCCACTTCCGACGTCCCGTTCACCCGCAATTCGCTTCTATTGGCAACACGAGAAAGAGAGACAGCGATTCGAGATTTACGAAACGTTAAACCGCGTGAGTTCGCAACGGAAGGTAAAAGGCGCCCGAAGTTGACTACTGCTCGAAGACGCGCGCGCGCGCCTCGCAAAAGGCCGTTAATTTCGCCCCTAGGACAAAAAACAAAATTCCGCCACGCAGGAGTTGTGCGCGTTTACAACATCTTTCCGACGACACCAATTTAAAAAGAATTGGACCAAAACTGTAGTAGAAGATAGGAAAAAACTGAAAAACCTTCATGTTAGTATACTACGCTCGAGGATGACGCCCAGATGTCGCCAACCCCACATCATGTAGCCATGTCCCTAAGGTTGACAAATTTCACGGCCTTGTAGATACACGTACACCCGTTGCCTTTCTACAAGAGTTCTTCTACGCGCCCACATTTGCAGCCAGCCAGCCAGCCAGCCAGCCATCCAACCAGCCGGCCAGCCAGCCAGCCAAAGTGAGATTAAAAGCTACTTTTTACAAATAAATTTGCAAAAATGCGCTAAAAAGTCATACTAAAGCAGGCTTTTTCAACATTGTGTTGTATTTTTTTGGGCGAATGATTTTGGATTACGGCCAGGACTGCGTCTGAAAATTTGAAGTGCCAGATTGTCGCGACATAATTGCTAAACAATTATTATCTAGGGGTTTTTAAGATGAAAATAACAAAAATGCCGCGAAGGAGATCAAAGAACAGAACTCGATCGAGGTCATCGTAAAGACCCGACCATTGCCACCACCCGAGAGGATGGAAGACTCTCCCTCCACCAACATGAACAGACTAGCAGAGCCCGCTTCAGCCCTGCATGTGACCGAAGATCAAGAGGACTTCCAACCTGCCAACAACAAGAGAAAGAAGAAGTCGCTGCCCTCTCCACTCTACTCCGCCGAAGCCATGAGAAGCGGCTACGACTCGCTCGATAATGAGCCCACCTTTAGTGAGCCATCCCTAGCAAACAAACAAATCAAATTAAGACCGGATTCACCTCCACTCCATAAAGTGGTTATACGGCGCCTCTCCGTTGAAACCACGATAGAAGATGTGAAAGAGGATCTGCATCTCTCAAAAGGAAGCAGTGTCACCGCTGCCATCATTGCCAGCGATGCTGTTACGCAGACGCTCGCTGCGTGAGATGCGTCGACGACTCGCACTTGACCGCTAAGTGCGTCAAGCCAAGGGAGGAAAAAGCATCCTGCGTAAATTGCTGAGAAGACCATCCCTGCGAACTACAAAAGATGCGTAAAGTTTCTGCGCCTTCCTTCAAGACGCCTGGGAACGGTTTCACAGCCCCAATCGGCGCCCGTCTAAGGGACGTACTCAGACCGCTGAGGATCGTCCCGGTGCGACTTACGTGGCGGCAACAAAAGATGCGAAATTGGTAGTACTTGTCGTCGCCAGTACCCTACTGGTAGTGAGATAGCGAAACCGGATTCCACGCCGACGGATAGTATCCAGTCCATATTGAGCCTTCTGCCAGCGTTGGACTTGGGGAAAGACTCCGAACAGTGGCGGAAGCCATGAAGGACGTTTAGTCTCCTACGGAGCTCTTGGGGGTCATTCTCAACGACGGTCAAGCCATCCTCAATCTGTTCGTTTGACAATGGGCAGACTCAGGACGTCACCACCCTCGCTTCAGATAGCCTTCTGCGCGAAAACGTGCCGCGTCATTGAAATGCAGCCCTTCATAGCATAGAGACCACCATTGTGGAGGTACAAACGTGAAGTTGGGGCCGTTTATCGCTCGTATCGGAGTACCATCAACCCGCCACGGCCCTCTTGCCCGCAGATCTGGATGAGCTCCTAGATGAGGATGTAGTCACCGTCATCGTCGGAGATTTCAACGTGAAGAATTCTTACGAAGATGGCAGAGCTGGTTTTGGACCATAATCCCATTCTACTAGAAGTGGGCGTTATAAGGCCGAATAAGGTAGACGAAGTCTAGACCGCTATCGGCGACTTAAGGAACGAGTCCTGAGAAAACCGCCTGCAATCCGTGAGGGTGGTAGCGCCGCACCCTACCGAAATACACAGTCGCCCAAAAGAACGACGCCTTTGCGGAGTATCCAGAACGTCAGTTTTCGCCTACCAAAACGCGGATCTGGTTAACGACTCCGTTAACCGAAGGGTTAGGAGATCCCTGCGTGAAGACGACGAAAAAGCGATCAAAGATACCAACCCGAGAAAGGCGCCAGTATCAGGAACAGAGCACTCAAGGAGCTCCCTCAACATGCAGTAAGAGCCCTCGCTTTTACTCTGAACGCGGCACTTTCCATCTCGGCGGAACTTGTCGACGTAATTATATATGTTACCGAAACCGGGTCAGTTCAAGAAGTTCCTACAGAACTACCGCCCGATCAGCCTGTTATGGCCGATCACCAAAATAGCGGAAGCGGTGATCCTGAGGAGGCTACAGGCCCAACGTAGGAGAGTTGCGTCATCCAAGATGAGCAGTTCGGATTCCGCAAGCGTTTCTCGACAGTCCACCAGGTACGAAGGGTGGTAGAATACGCGACAGAAGGCTTCAACCGCAACCACTCCACGGTCTTTTTGACCGTCTTTAAGGCGTTGGATGAGATCTGGCACAACGGGCAGCTGTGGAAGTGGCTAGAGTCCGTTCTTCCTTTAGCCACGATCCAGATTATTGCATCATACATCAAAGACAGACGCTTTCGCGTCCGTTACGAAAGTTACAGGTCGCGTTAGTGCAAAGAAGTATCTTAGGGATGTCTGCCCCCACCGTTGCTGTTCTCTCTGTATGTGCGGGTCATGCCGAAGACACCGGACACCACTCTGGTTCTCTACGCGGACGACGTTGCCTATCTATTCAAAACTGTGGCAACCAGAGGCCATCTCTAGGAGACTCCAGACAGAACAGGACGACCTAGAAGAATGGTACATCGCAAGAATGCATATCGTCCAAAGCAAGGCACTGAGGATAGCTGTAAACGCTCCGTGGTTCATGCGGAACGCAGACATCCATCGAGATCTGAACTTCATCAAGGAGTTAATTACCACTGCGGCGGTGAAGATCGTCGGCAGTCAACGAGACCACCAGAACGAGGTGGTAACGGAAATGGACACTTATGAAGAGGACCAACCCCTGATACACAAATTTCCGAAGATTTGGGCTTCTTGATGCGGGAGAAGGATAAGTATCGACTGTCTCCTCGGTCGAACCGAGCTTAGATTTTGTTACTGTTTTTAGGAACGGACGGACGAACAGAAAGTGCGATTTTTATAAATAAGAAAATTAGCATTGCGCAGGTTGCGCATGCGCACAGCTGATATTTACAACATGCAATATGCTTGTCTTTACTAGAAGCATCAGTGGTTAAAATTTCAAAGAAATATCTCCATAAACCAAAAAGATGGCATTGCGCAGCCTGCGCATGCTCACATTAATCGTTAAGATTTTTCTTGGTTGAGGTGCGAGAGCTATAAAGCTACCGAAAGCTGAATATAATGAAAACTGAAGGAGCGGTTCAGGCCTCGGACGGACTGACGGATCAAAAATGGTCATACTAGCGCCTTCCAAGATGAGTTGGAAAATGCGGTAAAAACCAGAAAAATTGTGTAGAGTGGAAGGGATTTTTTTAAAAACGTTGCAACTGGAGGGAAAACGGAAATGTCCGAGTGGAAATAAAAGTGCCTGAACAATAGAGCGCTAATCAAACAAAGTGTATTTTAAAACTCACCATTTTAGTTGGTAGAAGAATCCTCTTTCAACTAAAAACACTAATTTAAAGTGGGTATAACACCACGGTTTAGCTGAAACTGACGATCCTCTCGAGATTTGCCGTCAAAACTCGAAAACATATGAGTAACAATCTTGAGCTTTTGTGGTTAAAATTGTAGTCGTATTATAAAATCACTTAACAATACGACACGCTACCCTTAGATTGCAATAAAATTTGTAAGATCGTATGTTGATACCCTTGTTTGCGTGTATTGTACGTTGGCACTTTAATTTATGCAGTATAATGATATTTCACACAACCCAATTTTTCCGCGACTTTTACACCAATGAAGTCAACTGAGCTTCACAGGTAGGTGTGCCAAATTATGAATGAACCGTTGTAACACTTGTAACTCGCACATCTTCAGTAATTTGCAAAAATAACGTACGACTGAAAGCAAACCGTAAAATTAGCTCTTGATTCAGGCGTTGCTCTAAAGAGCGATGAGTGTTTTCAGGAATTAGTATGCGTCTAGGCATATTTTTAGAAATGAAAGATTAAGAATTAATGTAAACTTAGCTAAAAGCAGTTTTATACATTAGGTAAACAATGCGAGGTACTATTATTAGAGGTTCTATCAATAACCCTCTTGTGATAATTCAACCACTAAACATACACTAATGATGATATTTAAGTGTTTCCCGCGCAACACGAAAACTCCCCGTGACGTAAATCGTAAATTTGTAGTTAATTTTGTATGATTGGTTTCGCTGCATGGGAAATATTACATTCGAAATCCATTTAGATGTTGTGTACGATAATTAATTTATATTATGGCTGAATCTAATTTCAGGTTTTGAAGCATTTACCTTCCAGCGCTCGCATGAAAATAGAATTACTAATTTCGTAATTTGTTAAGCGTTCCATTTCATTCATTTATGCGTACGATTACCCGATTATTCGTTTTCACATTTCGTGCTAAAAAAGTCATTATTTACGCATGCACGCATATCCATTTTTTACGTTGTTCAATACCATATATGAGCTCCTTATTGACCAAGAAGTGGAGAATTGGAGAATATGGTAGTTATGGGAGTCCAAATGAATGGAAACGGTTAGATAATAAGTAACTGAACCAGTAGAAACTAAAAACTTGTTTTGGATGATATCCAAATTCTTCCATTATTTACAAATTCTATTCCTCGAGTAAATACTTTTAATAGCCATTCATGTAATCGCATTTGACCCCCCCCTCACTTTTTTGACGGAGATACACGTTTTGAAGCACCGGGAATCCGAATCAAACAAAACGTCAGTACTTCATTTCCGGCTAAACGGCTGATCCGATTGTAGTTAGTACACATAGTCTGGACATAAAAGAAGGAGATGTAAAGCTGAGTATGTTGGACAGAACGCTCATGCGCAAATATGTGGGTGGTATTTGTGCTAGCCACAGTAAATTTTTAAATTATTCTTTCTTACCACCCGCACATCAGTAAAGGGAGGTATGGCCTTGGAGTAAGAAATGAACCCCCATTTTGACGGAAATGCACGTTTAGAAGTACCAGGGATCCGAATCAAACAAAATTTCGATGATGTCGGCCGGTCTGTCGGTCTGTCTGATTGAACTGATTGAAACCAAATTTGGTACATATATTTTTAGACATAAAAGGGTGAGCAGAAAAGTTTCTGGGCAGAATCGTGCATGCGCAGGTGCGCGGGTGGTGTCTGTGCTAGCCACAGCAAATTTTTTAAATTTGAAACTATCATAGAGATGAGCAAAATTTATTCCTTTACTTATATCATAAGACGTGTCGGGTCGAGAAGGCATCTGGAGCTCAGCAAGTTCTTTAAAGTTGAGTGACGTCATTAGGTAGCGCCTTGTGCGATAAATAAAATTTTGTACACAACAGCATACGACAGGGAGTATAAAGAGAATTATTCGGTGTATTTACCCGCCTCAAAAACCAGTTAATAAATTTGGTAAAATTAGTTTCAATACATCGGGACGTTTGCCTTGTATTCCTGTGCATTATAATAACCTCGAGCGTTATTTTTCGTAAATTTGAATCCAGTTTGCTTAGATTCGCAATACGTATAGACATCTTTGTATCATTAAGCGATCTGGTTCCATATTTATAAGGCAAACGGCATTTTATGGGGAGAGATATACTCGGAGATAAGACCAATAAATTTTAACTTGAAAGGAATCTCATCCATGTCCATTACAATTTTACATTTTTTGATGTGGTGTAACGGAGGCTTGTTAAATTTTTCAAGTTTTGTGGATTTCAAAACTATATTCGGGTAGAAATGCGTATCGATGATTCAAATTTCTGGGAAGTTGTAGTTTTCATTAAAATTAACAAACATTTTTTTTTTCGATATAATTAAGTTTCAAATATCGTGAAATACTAAGATGAGTTATTGGTTTTGGACTTCCTGTTTTGGGCGAGTTAACAATTAGTACGTGATTTAAAAAAGGTCACCGGTTAAAAGACGCAATAGATTCTAGCAAAAATATGTAATAAAACAGCGAGGCTAAAAAATTATGAGTTTGTTTATTTCCGGAAACTCGATGGGAGCGTTAATTACGGGCGTTGGTTTACTCGCGATATAAAAACCAAAATGATCAGAAATTTAGGGGCTTTTTGCGTAGATATTCACGCGGAGCGTGTATACCGTCGCGGAATACGCGGCTACCACTTATAAAGTTTTTTCGTAGACATTCGCACGGGCGAGTGTCGTCGCGGAAAAAACGGCTACGGACCAGTTAAGTAAAAAGGCCCAAACCAAATAAAATTTGTTGCGCGTATTAATTTAAAATCGTATTTTTTAACCAGGAACAAGTTGGTCGTTCTGGAATAGTAAATTGTTCGGAAAGTATTAATCATTGAGTAACTGCAGTTTAGTTTAATGTGCGATTGAAAGACTTCCGTTCAGAAATTATATAAAGTACGAAAAGCGCGCTAAGAAATTGTTGTTCAATTGTGATTACGCGATTGGATTTAATAGACGAAGATTGAGAATAATCTAAATCATCCTCCACTACAATACCCACCATCTAAAAAGGGGAAGAATACTACTGTCTAAATTGTAAGTTATTTTTATGAAAAGTTATTTACCTAGAAATTTATTTATATTAACTTTTTATTTTGTCATTTTGTGATTGTTTTTTGCCGAATGGTTTTATATAGATAGGATAAATATAAGTTAGCAGTTAGAAGAATATTCATTGCTGTAGGAATTTAATTAAGTGTTATATTAAGTAAATTTAAATATTATTCAGATTCAGGATAGATGTAAGTAATTGAGTAATTAAGATATAATATAAAAAAAATCAATTGTGAGTGCAGTGGAATTTGGATTTATTTTATTTTTTTCAATATAATCGGTTTATTTATGTAGATTTATTTTTATCAATCAGAAACGTGAGACGGTAATAGTAGGGCTATTACAGTGGATAAAGTAGTGTTCGACAATGTTTAGAAAATTGCATATTAATTTTATTTGCATAATTTGAATATTCCTAAAGGAATCGACCTATGAGGACCACGTTTGCATGAATATATTTTGTTTCTTTTAAGGTCAGCCTGCAGATGGGTTTCTAAATTGAGATTTAAGCAAGTATACAAATACTATATTATGTAGCGGGGATTGTGATTTTTTCGCAGAGGGATTTTTAAACCACGATATCTCAGTAGAAAATAAAGGACATGTTAAATCCACGGTACACCTTGAACACCTCGTGGCGATATTGCCCCTAGGTGAACTTCGCCCTTTGGGTTTTTATGATTACGTAAACAGTAGAAACACTAAAACAATCGATATATGGTGATATCGGCTAGTAAAATTAAGACTATTAAGTAGCGGCAATTGCAAACTATCAGACACTAAAGGCAATTACAACTTTAACTAAGAAATAATTATGAGCAACTTTTTTCAGGTTGAGATTTTTACCAACCCCCCCATAATGCTATCGGGGTCTATCTAGCGTCCTTGAAGTAATTAAATGATAATGTAAAGGTGTTACCAGACGACAATGGTGGTCAACGGTTTCATCTAACGATTCGATCATCGAATATTGCTAATTTTACAAATCCTAAAGTTGTCTGAACAATATCGTCAAAATCGCTTTCTTGATCTCAAGACATACTGTCAGTATGAAACGTGGATTCTTGATGAATGTAAGAATTTACATTTTAGTGATAGAGTAAGAAAGTATAACAAACTCGGCGCTATTATGGGCACTTTTTTCGTCCGTCCGTTCGTCCGTCCGAGGCCTGGTCCGAGGCCTTAACTACTCCTGCAGTTTTCAAGATATTTAGTTCGTTCCTTTGAATTCGGTAGTTCATAACCCTGGCACCTGATTCAAGAAAAATCTTGCCGATTAATGTGCGCATGAGCAGGCTGCACAATGTCAACTTTCTTATTTATCGAGATATTTTATTGAAATTTCACCCATATACTTCTAGTAAAGGCAAACATATCGCATATAGTAAAAATCATATGTGAACATGCGTAGACTGCGCAATGCTAAGTTTGTTATTCAGAAGAATAATGATCCTATGACTTATTTTCAAGTACAATACATCTTTTTCACATTTAAGTAAGCTACATTCGCCACTTCCCTAGATTCCCAAGTGCCGTTCAAGACATCTTTTTTAGCGCATTTTTTAAGAATTAAAAAAAATGTGCTATTGTTTGCGTTTTGTTCATCCGTCCGGGCCCACTTCTACCGTTTTGAACTACTTCTAGGGTAATGGTCCTAGAGTCCTAGAATGTTTTGCAGTAGGTAGCGTATACCTTGAAGGTGTGCCAGACGGCCATCAAATTTCGCTGTCTAAAAGGGGGCCCACCCCCACGAATTATTTCCTGAGATGCTGTTTTTGAAAGTAAAACGTGCATAGCTTTTACATACGGCAACCAATTGGTCTCATATTTTGCATACGCATGCCTTTAGTGGCGCCAAGTTAAACTTACTTTAGAAAATGGGGGGGTTAACACATGTTCTACCCTTCATGGTATTCTAATGAAAGGTCTCATTGAAATAAATTGGTTTGTACAAACTATAACTTTCCCGTGCGACTCTTTTTCGAGATCAGTGAGCGACGGGGCCTGAGGGGGGGGGGGGTTAAACATTAATTTTATCTCTAAGTGTATTCTAATTAAAGGTCTCCAGTTTTGGATTTATTTCTGTTTGCAAAATAAGACTGCAACAGAGCATTTTGTCCTCCCTTAAGAGTGTACTTATCTTAGACCATATAGTACATGGACTGCTAATTGTAACGAAAATATGGTCAAGGACATCGCCTGGGTATGTGAGTTTCAGGGTAAACGAGTCTGTCCGAAGTTGTCCGATTAGATACGATTTGAGACTGTCAACCTATAAATTAACAAA